ACGCACGCCTCGAGCGTCCTCCCGCGCAGCAGGGCGCGGCGGGCGAGCCCCGGGCCGTGCAGGGAGCAGCGCGCCATGCAGTCGAGGGCGTAGGCGCGCAGAAAGCCGCGCAGCGTCGGCTGAGCCCAGGGCGCGCGCAGCGCCTCTCCTCGTCCTCGCCCACGCCCACGCCCGCGGTCCGCCCCGCGCCGCCAGCCGTCGCGCCTCGCGGCCATGGCACGCGCCCTGCCGCCCACACACAACGCGCGCGGGCGCAGACGAGGACGCGTTCAGGAACTGTTGCAGTTCAGATGGCTCTGGACAAAAACTTTTGCAACTGCAGCGTCTCTCACCGGGAGGCCGCAGGCCTCGGGCACAGAACGTGGCGAATTTCCGACACTAGCTATGACGTAGCTGCGTCGAACTCAGTTGTTCTTTGAAGGAGAATTCTAGTCGCCGGTTGCTCTGAGCGGTAGGTTTTTGTGGTTGTTTTTCTCCGATCAGCCTCAAGCGAATGCCGGATTAGCACCTTTACAAACGGACTGCGCGCGGTCTCCTTTTCCTCATTTTCATCCCCTCGTCTTCATTCACACACACACACACACACTTAGACTCATATGCACTACACATGTCAGGAGACAAGCCGGCAGCTTAGAGCTTGTCCCGGCTTGGGCAATGTTCCTTGTGCTGGCGGAGGTAACTAGAGGGGGAAATTTCTGTAAGTTGTCTTATAGGTCAGCGCAGGATCTCACGCTTTAGTGAAGAAGGATCATCAGCGCTTAAAAGCTACAATATGCTTGGCATTTTAGAAGTTAATTACAAGAGCGATTGACGCACTCGGAAGCAAAGTAACCAATCAATCTATCCAAAACTGGCTGACTCAGGGATTCTAACTTACCGTGGACGGAAATGTAAATGACGGGGGATTGGAATTCCGACTACAGTTGCAAACAGAAAGGTTCGATGTCACATTTAGCCGTTTTTCAGTTAACGGTAGGAAACTGTTCGTAACATATAAATTAAGTATTCTATGAATAAATGTTCGTTGTCCGTGTGACGTCTGTGCAGTTTCCTTCAACTATTAACGTTAAGAAAAAAGTATCGATGTCCGGAACTTAGATACTTTTTTCTTGCTCTTCACAATTTGGAGCTCCTGGTCGTAGAACGTTTTTGCTTTCTCCGATTCATTTTTCCTCGCGACAAAAATCCCGAACAACTTAAATGTCTGACTTGAAAGAGTCAATAACGCAGAAAATAAAAATGTAATATTTGCATACGAACAAAAATGTATTATTAAATTAACGTACGTGCATTTGTAATTAAATTACATGCTTATATGAGAGAATTCTTATGAAAAACTCTCAAACGTATAGTATTTTGGAGCGTGTATAGCGATAAACTAGGCACTGAGCATATATGGGCAAAGCGATGCTCATCCTAAATAATTTTTGTAATCTATATGTGTTTTTGTAGATATGCAGTTTGTCCTTAAAACAACAGTTGTGGACACTCTTCATTTAAAATTTGTTAGTGAGAAATATGATTTCATAGTGTGTCTTGTCATCTCAGAATAATGTGATTTTTTACGCAGTAAAATTCTGTTTCTTATATTTCCACCGATTGTATCCGACCTTTGAGTGAAATTCAATTTGAGACATGTATTTCGGCTGGTTTCTGAGGTAGTCTGTCCTTGCCTTTCCGCCTAGAACGATCGTCCAGGAACGATTCGGTGTCACGGCTCCTCCTCCTCAACATTGATCTCCACCACGTCAGAGGCTATTCAAAGAAGAGAAAGTGCATTGAGCCCTTGCAATGGGGACACTCCTCTGGGATGTCATTTATATTCTGCAACATCACAACCAGGGGCTAATGGTATGTGAGAAATTCGAGAGCACAACGAAATGACACAACGGGAAGTCTGACGCACTCCTATCGCATTCGCACATTGTAAGATGTGGAAAGTATATGTGTCTCAGACTCAGGACGGACGAGTCTCTGAATTAGAAATTCTTTCTATTTCTTTTATTCCGAAAATTGTATTAACCATTAAGCTTTTGAATATTTGTGTGAGAAAGTAATTGCACTAAAATATTCAAATGCCACATGCCGTGCAATTGAAGTCGCGTGTAAGAAATATTGATAAAGCATTCGCTTGCCTATCCATCGATTGCGACCTCCCCGAATTCGTTTGGCGCTGCTCCATAGATGGACGCGTTCTAACTTGGTTATAGGAAGAAATGGGAAGCAGAAACGACTGGTGGAAAGGAAAATTGTCCATATTTTTAAATATTCCAACTTATGCGAACCAGTTGATTGACGTACGTTGATCAATTTACATAAAATCTCCAATATGAAGGTGAACTTGCTCTTCTCGCCACGAAGACGAGTGACCATGGGGCTTCTGCAACGAACAGCTAAAATCTTTAAGAATGTCGAAGTGTAATTAAGGAACTTGTCGCGATCACATTGGTGATATGGAAATTGTAAATCGAGAAAATTCTTTCCCAAGCCATTCCATTTGCACAGTGACGATCAAAGGCTGTTCTTCATCGAAATGACCGAGTGAAGTTCCGTAGGTTTTCGGATATTTCGAATTTGCTTTAAAACATAACTAGTGTTAATATTTATACAGGATGGCTTGTGACGTAATGGCCAACTCAATTGATATCAAACTCGTATTGTAATTAGATGGTATGAAAGGAATATCGAAAGTCTATCCACTTTATAAAAACTCCAATGAACTATAATTTCCATTTAAATTGGACTATTCATTTTGCCTAATACGACCGACTGATATTGATAGTAATTACTGAAAGGTTATGGAGCATAGCACATATGTGTACTATTACTGACCTGTACTTCGTAAAGTTTAACTAGATAATGAAATTGGCTTGTGATAATAAGGGAACGCTTCGAAAAGACAGCGTTTCGTTACCGCGGTACCAGCACCAATATACCGGCGTGACTAATTGACTCTCGTGTCCCAGTTCATGGATCTATTTTCTTCATAACAAATGTTTCAGCTAAATTAAAAAAATGCTATTTTATGTACACAATTATCCCCTTTTGAATTGAGTCACGAATCGTATTGCGTGTTTTTAACCGGAAAATAAACAGAACGTGGTTTTTGATAGCATTCAAATTTTGCAATAGAGATAATATTTTTCTTTGAAAGTGGAAATATTTACATTTAATCACTCCACAATCTTGAGTTCAGAGCAAAAATCCTGTTTAAAATCACTCGTTTTTTTAAACAACAAAGAATGTAAAATATACAGATGAGTGTTATTTATGAAAACTTATGAGTAGCTACTCCCTTGCTGCTTACTTACCTGCGTGATGTTGTTTGTAACACTAGTGGCGACATTGATCAAATGTCCTTTCAGAACATCGTTTGTCTCCAGACAACAGTAGTATGCAAAATGAGACCAGTCGCATCTACCTTATGATATCTCTTTGTCATTTTGTGAGATAAAAAATACCATTATGAACACAGGTTCCTTAAAGTCTGTTAGTCACACTAACGACTCGTTTGTAGGCGTTTTTTGAAGTGACGTTCAGAGCGATTTTCTGATACAGAAAAAAGGGTATGGTAATGGTATGTCTCTATCTGCTTCTGGCCATCAGATTCCGAGAAACTTGAATCTTACTTGCCAGTTCATGGCGGTTAAAAACCGGCGTGTCAGCACAGGCGTGTGAATAAATGTTGCAAACATCAAGGGCGTATAGGGGGTCGTAGAATTATCAGCCCCGACAAAAAAAACAAATGCTTAATATTATTTTTCTCCTCATGAATCTAATTCATTAAATGAAAAAAATAAACATTACACAAGCATAACTTCATTATGTGAAGTTAACTATTAGATGTCCATTAGGCAAAAGTGATCATCTTTGACCCCATGTACCTTAGAAAGCACTGATATATTTGATGCGCTTACTTTCACATGGAACACTGGTCGTTCTTCGATTTTCCCTTATTCAGTTGATTTTATTTGTTTCATTATATCGCCTCCAAAGTGTTTTAAAACACAGTTTTTTATTCTGACCTCAAGCTCCTGTTAATAATGGAACACTCATTTTCAAGGCAAAGGTACGAAGGTATTTTGTCCAAAGTCAAAATTAAGAGGGCTTTTTTGCCAGTACACTGCTATTCTTCGAGATATGAAACACCTTACTCCAAACGAATATTACAAAACTTTTTTCTGGTATTTCAATTTGTTTACACCTTGTATTCAATTTGTATACAATTTCTATATACGGTATATATGTGTTGTATTTGTATATAGAAAATGTTCATATTGCGCGAGATAAATTGTTTTTTTCATTCAGTTTCAGCCAAATCTCTCGATTTCTAGTTAATTTTCTTGAGTAGTAGATGGTTTATCTTCAGTAATATTTGTAATGGATATCGAAAATAAGTGACGCGTCATGTAAATTAATTGAGAGTAGAAAATATGTGATCTAAATTCCCTTTGTTTCATCACTAATTTCTGTTTGTAATTGCGAGGTGTTAGAGCGTTTACCACAGATATTACTGAACGTATATGATGTGTCGGAGATGTCAGAGCTTGTCCTTTGAGAGTTGGATTCTAGTATGAAACTATTTTCACTTTTAATGCAATGATTTAAAAAGTTCAAAATGATTAATAAATATTCATATAAGATTATAATATAAATATTCATATTTATCAAATAGAGTTCTTTTGAAAGTTTATGATTCTGTTTAGTAAAATGTTTATTATTTTTTAAAGAAATTGAAATAATACTTAGTGTAATTTGAATATTAACAGTAAATTGATAAACTGATGTGGCAATTTGAATAAATGTTGTCAATATATATTTTTCAAAATTTCATAAGTAGAGATTGAACCTAATATAAATTTTAAAATCCAACATCTAAATACTTCACATGTTTCGTTTTTTGAATTTTTTCTTTATAATTTTTCTGAAAGTGAACAAATTTCATTCTTTTAGTTTTAAAGTTTGTTGTTTTGGTATAAATAGCACTTTAAAACTTTTTTTCAAAAAGGATTTGAAAATATGGGAAGAGGATTAATTGTTAAATACAACACAATGCTTAGAAATAAATGTATTTCACAAATGTTCATCTGCTCTCATTGAACATTCTTAAAATAAATGTCATGACACAGCCTGCCTCAGTTTTATAGTTTGTTTTACTTTAAGAACACATTTTCATAATGGTGATGGAACTCGGGGATCTATCTTGTTTCAAAAATTTCGCCGGTTTCATATCGACGCAACCTACAATCCAAGGTATACCCTGATCTCCTAAAATCAGCAAATACAAGCCATAAAACGATCATATTATAGAATGTCAATTCTCTTGACACTACAGATACGACCCAAACATTGTATTTTATTATTTTGTGATGAATCACTACAAAGAAATTCACATTTTTCTGGTTGGTAAACACAGTCCTCACAGCAAATTGTACATTGATTCAACATGTGCATACAGTTTTTCACAGTGTTTTTAATTACACGGGTCCCCAAGACCTTAGTACTACTTTTTGCAATTACAATGAACTGGATAGATCTTGATGTATCATGTGATTTGGATAACAAAGTCCATAACAATGACGTACTAAATATTTGACACTTATAGCATACATTTATTTTTTTACCATTACTCTTGAATTCACGATTTATTTTCGTTCCGATTCAAAGCAGGCCAACAAGTTGTACTTTCTGAAATATTAATATAAAATTATAAAAATCCCTTTAAAGTCATTTTGATATACTTTTAGAGTTGAAAAAATATCCACTGAGATTATCTGCTGGCTCCACTTGCTATTGAAACTATTATGTTCAATAAAGAAGTGAATATGTGAATGTTTTATTTATTGTAAGTTATATTACCGTTTCGTTGTTTTCATGAGATTATTGTATTTCGTAATATTACAAATAGTTTAGCTGGGTTGTTATAATTTTATCTACCGTTTTGACCTTGTCGTGAGAAAATTCATTTTCTAAATAAAATACTGAAACATTTCTTGACTCTGTTTGTCCTTTTTTCTCCGTTCATGATTATTTTGTATCTTGCATTTTACCAAGAAGTGTGTCTTTCGGAGTGTTAAAATTTCAGACATTTATGTTCGACCTATTTCATCGCAAACCTGGTCCTTCGCACGGTAGAATTGCCGGGCTGGCGAATTTGTTCGCTGAAGCGGATGGTGACTGGAGTCACAATCATGTTGGGAGTGAGGAACTGGTTGAGGGTGGTGGCTCCCTGGCGGGGGTTGCGGTCAAAGGGGTACCCCATAGGCCTGCGGTCCGGGAAGTTCTGGCGGAATATGCCGCAGTAGCTGTGGCCCGCGGTGCAGGTCGACTGCGCCGCCGTCGGCTGATCCACCTGGAAACCAAGAGGGGAGGTGAGCCAAACCGAGGACTGATTGAGGAAAATATTTTCAAGGTGACATACTAGCTGGTAGCGGTTCTTGCGAATTGTGTGTGAAATTTCAAAGAGGTGGGCGTAGTAAAATGAAAACATAAATATAGTAGGATATGATTAATTACCTATATCTTAATTTTTATTTTTAATTTCTTCATTTCTCGTTTCTATTTTGAAATATCAATTGCAAAACTGAAGTTGATATTGAAAATATCACAACGGAATGATTTGAAATGTTAGTAGTCTGGAACATTCTTTTATAAGAATAATGATAAGCAAATACCGCGTTGCGTGTATTTTTGTCAGTGGCGTAACGTTCGGGCACGCAAGGCCTGCAATGCTGGCGGTCAAGGTAAAAGAGAGCCTACTTTTAGGCTGGAGGTTTTGCGATTGTAAGAAATATGAATTACTTGAAACTTTCTCTGATTCTTTGCGATAGTTGATACAATAAAATATTTAAAAAAGCATCCTTCAGAAGAATATTTTTTTCTGTTTCGGTAGCTTATGTAACACTGTTTCTAAATCAATAAAGGTAAGCAACTCATTTAGGTTTTGTAGCAGACTTTATTTCTTAAAGTTAACAAATTAAGGCAGATTTTTATATTGTTGGTTATGTATTATATATATTTATATATTAATCATGGCATGATGATTATGAATTTGTAAAAGGATATTTTTACTATTTACAGTACTAACACTATTTGTGTTTTCTGAGCACTTTTATAAAGGGGGCTGGATCGTTTTGGGAGCAGGCCCGCACTCATTTCCTTAAGCTACTGCCTAATGTCCTGTTTCTGTTGCACGATAAATCAAAGTTCAATGTAAATCCCGCATTACTTTTTCATTTCAAAGTTGCCAGTTCTTTTAAAGAGCTTGAAGTAATGGTGGATATACAAGTATATTATTGTGATTCGAAATGATTTTGCTATAACAATCGGCAATCATGTATATGTTGTGTAACCGCCCTACAGTAATTTTGAGTGAATGGACGTACACATTAAGTAAAATGTAAATTTATCAACTTTTCTTCGAACTTTGAAGCATGCTCTGACTTGTTAGTAAATTTAGCAATTTATTTACTCACCCTATCATCAGCAAAGTTGGAGACCATGACAAAGAGATCAGCTTGAAGACCCTCCTGAGATCCCTTTGGCACGAGCATGTGCTGCGGCCAACCACATCCACAGTAGTTAAATTGGTCTTGTGCGTCGCCAGCCTCGGTTGGAATGGCGTTCAAATCTCGGAAGGTTCGTTCGTACGGGATTGTCAACGAACTCTGGGTACTCAAACGCTGAATAGTATTGGCACCAGGCTGGACTGCAAGTTGCATGGACAAGATTCGTTATTGTTAGTTTGAGATACAATGACGTAATATATATTTAAAATGTCTACTATTGGCATCAGAAAATACGCAGTAAGTAATTAACAGAACAAAAGTTCTGTTCTATGTTCTGATTGTCACATTCTATATTCACGTTATCATTATCTATATGCATTCTAAAATCACTACTAAACAATTGTAAAGATGTTTACAAAATTTATTGATAATTTCCAACTTAAGCATGGTGCAGGTGAAAAAGTTAAACATTTGATTTTTGCTGAGTATTTTCAAGCCACATTTAATTATTATTGATGTAGAAATGCCTCGTAATATAGTTCACTTACAGTTGAATTGGAATTTGTCCATTTCGATGAAGAACAGCCTTTGTTCGCGGAAAGTCAGGGGCGTTCCACGTTCATCGAATCGAGGAGCCATGAAAATTCTCACAGTTCCAGTACGTGCAGCTCCAGAATTTTGCACCTGTCACACATAAAACCAATGAAACAAAGTTTTATTGACTTTGCTAACTGCAATAGAACGAGCCAAGCAATTTACAAAATTGCGTGGCAACATTTAATTAACAATGCAAAAGCAAGACGAATTAATTTTAAGCAAAAGCAAGACGAATTAAAGTGTTGTTATGTTCAATTATGAAAAAGTTTACGATTTTTGGAGCCAATTTTCTCAGCTAGATGCGTTTTTGAGGAAAAGGGAAGTGCGTTACTTCAAGGGTCACCACTTCTTATTCTGTTTTATAATGCTGAATGAATGTTGAACAAATGCCACGGAATTTACAGGTGGTCGCAATTATTAATTTTTGTCTGTTGATCTCCAAATAAGAAAGGCAGTAGACTGGATGATTGTCGTAAGTTACAGATGGTCCAAATACTTCCGCGTTACGAAACAATTGGGACGCAAGTACGAACTGTAACGTTATGTTTGAAGAGCTTTTCGATTGTTAAATTAACAATTCTTACTAATCTTTAAACACACCATGTTTTAAATCCATTGTTATCTCAAAAACATATGTTAGTATTATTTAGTAATCCGTATGTAGTAAATAATCTATGAAAGTTATTGAGATTAACACATTTTTATAGAGAAATTTTGTTGATATGTTTTCTTTAAAAAGACTGTACATTATCTTTTTACATTCGCAATTCTGTTGTTTAATCTTTTTCTGTTAACCCTTTTGATTTTCCAATGACATAAAAATAAATGTTAATTTATATCCAATTATTCATTTGCAGAATGTTACGATTCTATCGCATTACTAATGACCGTAAGAATCGCAGCAACAATTTTACGTTTTTAAACTCATTAATTCTGCGAAAAAAGTTGATTCAATAATCAACTATAACAAAATCCTATTGACCGTATCTAATGTATTTTTGTTCCTGGTGCCGGTTTTATTTGCCACTGATTCAAAAGATTTACTTCTGTATATATAGTCCAGTGCGAAATGGCGTAGCTATTTTGTAAGTTCTCGAAAGCTTCAGTGCGGGCCGCTATATGCGATTGTTGAAGTGAAATAAGGACTTTTAAAACTAATTCGATTAATTGCATATTATATTAGAAATTAAATTTAAACTCTTAACCAGATGCTGAATAAAGTATTCTCCAGTATTTTAAGGCAATATTATTTCCAGCTCTGGACTCCTACTCAGAAAATAAATTTATAAAATTTCAGTTTTTGATCTACGTGATGTAGACAGTAGGTTTCTGACCAATCGCTCAGCTACCAACCAAATGCGTTTTTTCGAATAGCATCTTTCCGATATTCCTTTTTCAGAGGTTCCATATTCCGTAGCCGAAATTTCTGCTACGGAAGAGTCTGCCATGTTCATCTGTGTTCGAGGTTTTCTCTGGAGCGGTGCGAGAACAGACGCTGCTTATAAACGCAAACTAAACTAAAATTTTTAGTCCTTCCGAAACCCCTGATGAAAGAAAATGGATGTGGTCGGGCTATGCCTTCTCAGGTGTCTATTAGCTGGGAAGCGACATGGCATTAGCTGCAAAGGGAGGTTGATGGCAAATTGACCGCGAGATGCAGTCGGGTGATTCCCGGGCTCCCATTCGGAGCCCATTTCTTAGGGACGTGGGATTATCCGGGGAGGGTGAAGGGAAATAGACAGCGGGATGCAGTTGGGCAATTCCCAGGTTCCCATTCGGATCCCCTGACTTAGTGAGAGGGGATTACGTGGGAAGGGAGAGCGAGGGGAAACTGACGGCGGTATGTAGTAGGGCGATTCCCGGGCTCCCTTTCGAAGCCCCTGGCCACGCCCCTGTCAGCGCGCCACTCGCTCACCTGGATGCGGTAGCTGAAGGGCGAGTGCTGCAGGTGGGTGATGCGCACGAAGACGGAGCCGCGCGGCGCGAAGTCGAGCCCGCGCGAGAGATCGATGTCGCTCTGCTGCCAGAAGGTGTTGAATTCGTTGCTGCCGCGCGCCCCGTTCGTCTGCACTTCCGCCCCCGTCACTTGGATGCCGTCGAACGCCAGCTGCAAGAGGAGCGAGGCGGTGAAGTGGGGCGCGTGGAATCGAACCTTATCGGCCTATCTCGGCCACAGGGGAATGTAGGTATTCATGCGCCTTTCACAGGGATGGAATTTGCGTCCCTGTTTGGACACGTCAAATTAGGATTGTTGTTGTTCATAAATTCTTGGCTATCCGAGAGACGCGTCTCTTGTAAAGGCCAAGAATTTATGGATTCAAGCCGTGGAAGCTTACGTGTGCATTGTTGTTGTTTGTTTTAGCGGGTATACGTACTCTAAATTGCTCCCCTTGTGAGTGGCGCCCGTGGAACGTGCCATATCTGCCATACCGTAGATAAGCCTCTGACCTCGACCGATATAAACAGTATTTTTTGACACCGGTAATAATCAAATCTTTGATAAAGATTTTTCTTCGCTTTTTACCTTGTACTCATATCTCTCAGAATATGTGCATATTGATTGTGTATATTTTGTCATTTACTCATATTACGTGAAAAATTCGAAACGTGTTGACACTCGTGTTTTCTTACGAATTAATTTTTTAAATTTTATAATTACATTCTTTGTAGATTAATTTATCCTTTTCACGCTTTTTGAGTATAATTTTTACTTTCGAAGTGCACATCACTGAAAAAATTACGGCATTAGTAATTGGTGTGGTTATTAAAATGTGCAAGCACTATATTGTAAAACAAATGTTTGGGATAAAACGTTGACCCACATAGAACAATAGAATGAATGAAATATTTCCATACGTGTTGAAATTACTAGGGAAGAGAGAATGGTGCCCGGATACTGTTTACTCGTTAGCTGAGGTGAAAACGCAGAATAAAATCGTTGGAAATACGATTCTTAGCGTCAGCCAGACGGAAGAAGTGATCACAAGCGTAGGTACTTTCACTTCCTTTGAAGAGGAAAACTGGTGGAGAAGCCTAGCTTTCTCAAAGACATAATTCCAAATGAAATAATAATTAGTTACATATTGATACGAATTTGGAGCTATGTATGAACTATCAAATATTGTAAAGCTTCTACATTATAAAAAATTAACATGGTAATATTTACATGAGAATACGAACTATTAATTATTTTGAATTAATATTCGATTTTCTTCTTAATGTGACTTCCAATGAATGGTTAGTTTAGAGCCTGGATGTCAAACTAATAGTCCTCGGGACCCACAGTATGCAGGTCCTATGCATGTAGTTTGACCAACAATAACTATTTTTTTCCTTCTATAACGAACTCCGCGCGAACACAACAAATAGATAGTACGCCTAAGTATTAAGGAGTAAATTTCGGCAAGTTTCGGGGGTTGAATCAGAACGGCAGTACTATTTAAAATTTGAGTATTATTCCAATTCCGCGACAATAATAAACTAATTTTTGAATTTATTAATAGTTTCATGTATTTCAAACAATATCGCTGAACATGTCATCCTGGTACTGTATAAGTCGTGTGCCATTGCTGGTAAACGGTGAAAGATATGAAATATCTTCAGATTGAAAGATAATAAAAACTTCTTGAAAATGAAAAAAAGCACGTGTACTACTTTAAATTTATTCATTAATACCTCTTGCACGGTGTATGGAGCGAGTGTTCGCTTATGCTCTTGGAAAATGTCGTCAATCATTGCATGCCAACGGTAGAACACTGGGTCTCTCATCGCAGTTGTGGAGTCACCCATGACGCTGAATGTTTCCTGCAAATAATGAAGAAGTTGTAATAACAAATTTCAAGAATAAATAAAACGTTTCATTCACATTCGTAATAAGCATATGCACTCACCAAATGCCTGTGATCCGGGTCGTGACATAAAGCGATGGCCACGTGACCCAAGTTGTGCATGTCCCCGTATAGATTCGGATTGACTGAAATGGCGCTGGCTTCAATCATATTTCCTAAAATGTCGATTCCTGCTCGCGCATCTAGTTGCATGCTTTGTCCATTTTCCTGTAATGAAAATATTATTTGTCATATTTTTTTTTCTTTTATACCATCCTCTCGAAAAATACAATCAATTATCTAGGTAAAAATAAAATCTAATTATCCAGCGATAGCTGAGTTTGCTATTTTTCAAAGAATTAGATGATGACACTTCCACAAATGCCCTAAATTAGTGTTATATTAACAAAATTTCCAAACCAATATCTATATTGTTAATTTTCACTGCACGCAGGCAGAAAGTGGAAGTAATCTATGCGACTTCCAGAGATGTGAGAATTATCTGTGGTTTCGTTCGTTGTCCAGGAACAGAACTTTTGCTGCTTCAGGCCACAAGTGAATATACAGTGCGCTAGGAAAGTCTCTCCGCGCCGAGACGAATCTGGGCTACCTATTAAAAATTGAGTTTACTTTGGTAGCAGGGGCGCCCAGAGAAAACCAGAGGCCTGGAGCAGTTGATTCAAGGGGGCCCCTTATTTCGAACAAAAAGTTTCCGCCACACCCAACTCATTTCTCCATGTATCAAACATAACTTAAAGCCTTAAATTTGGATTAGAGATGATATTTTCCCAATTAACGTCGGGGTCTGGTACAAGTTCCATCAGCAGCTCCCCTTCTGGACGGTCCCGGTTGTTAGCCACCATATCTTGGAAAACAAGTGAAGAGAACATTTCCATTATGATTGCAGTGAGTACTCGATTTAGGCTTTATAGCTGCAGTTCGTGCTACCTACATAATTTCTGTTGCAAGCACTCTCATCAGCTAGATACTACAGAGGAGAGACTTTCCTTGCGCGCTATGTCAATTTAATAACGTGCGAGCTAGAGTAAATTATTAATGTACAGTTGAACACTTTTTATCTGCGGAGAAATGGTTTCTGATCATTATATGTGAGCCAATTTTCAGAATAAATAATTAACATCACTAACTTTTTAACGGTGTATCGAAGGAACGAAATAAGATACCAACGATTTACAAAAGAGCGATACAAGTGATTATCAATAATTTAAATGTTATCGTAATCTAAAAGAATAAATATCACCTTTTATTAGAATGTTCTTCAAAATCTTAATTTAAAATTTAAAAAAACTTAAGTTTAAAAATATTTAGATCAATGAACTTTGAAGTTGTTTACGCCTCAGTATTAAAAAAAGACCCGGAGTTGCAAATCCTGATTTCCCTTAGACAAATCGTCCCAAACCAAGTTACATGCCCAAGGCATGCACTAGTATTAATTCTAAGCAACAGTTGTTTCATTTTTGTTTATTCTCAATTTTCGTTGGAATATTACGTTGACAGCAGTGCAAAGGAAAGAGCTCAAACTCCGGTAGTTTCCGTTCTGGGTCATTCTCTCTTTCACTGGTCCTTCGCCACAATAGTGAACTCAAACTCACTTGGCCCATTTCCTAACCCGACCCTGGCGCAGCCGCATTCGTCATCTTACTGAACTAGCGGCGACTTGTGCAAAAGTGTCCCGTTTGCACAGACACATACTCACCGCCTGCACGCGGCCGCTGTGAATGGCCTCGTAGATGCGGTCTCTCCAGCGCTCGAGGTCTTGGATGTCGAAGGTGATCTGCATGTCCTCGCGATTAATGTCCTGCACAATAGGGTGTGTTCCTTAGTTCCGCTTCAACTAGGTCATGTTCTTTCTTAAGAGCATTCATTATCTAGTTTCCTCAGTGCCAATTGATGTTTCGCAAAGAAAGAACCCAAATGCAGTTCTTCTAGTTTGTTTTGTTTTCGTTAATAAGATCGGAAAATAATATTTTAATATCAACTTGAATTAAAAATGATATTCATTTTAAATTAAGAGTTTTATACGTTGGGTGTTTATAATACATGGGAAAATATAGCTAGTAGTTATACTATAGGATCCAAGAAAAGTAACAGAAACATACAATAATTTTAACTAATATAGTTTATAACATTCATCAAGAGGCAATATAGTTGTTAACGTTTTAGCAATGTTTAAAAAACATTTTCTCCCTACTAATGCCATCTTTTCAAATTTATGGATGATGTTACACTACTTTAGTGTCATAAATTAATGACAATTCAACTTCAGATATTTTCGTAATAAGTATATTTTCTCTCCGAATCTTGGAAGGGAAATTTTATACTAGATGCTCATTCGAATTCGAATTAATGATGATTGTTTTTAATTACATAGAATTAAACTTTTACTTATCTACGCCAATGAAAAATCGATTGCTAATATATTTAACATTTATTAGCCCATCGAGAGTGAATATGTGGATTAACAAACATCTATTTTCTAAACATTATAAATAACTCTTTCGCTATTGACACAAACATTTTTATAACATGTTGTTTTCTTTCGGAATTGACTATGCACCGTTGCTATTACGAAACATAAAAGCTTAGATAAGCAAAACCTTAAAAGTTCTATAAGTAAAAGTAATCATCGTACATTCGCAAATCAACCATTAACACTATCTCGTAGATAAAGCACGCCTATGCCACGAGTTACAAACCGAGAGTTTCGCTCCAGCATGGCGCGGGGGCCACACGCGGCTGGAAACCAGGCTGTCCAACTTGGGGAAGTAGCCTTCCTCGATGGGGTCCCTCCAGTTGAGGAGGCGCTGCACTCTGCCCAAGCGGTTGCTGAAGCGCTCGAAGTTGTACCTGCGGCCAAATCCAAGTTCGTTTTTGTTCAGTTCTGTTACGTTTTCGTAACAACGTTCCGTAAAGACCTTTATTGGCGTCGAACGGAACTGCGGAGTTCTCCTTTAACCTAGTCAGTCATCGATAGTCGTAGTGAGTCATGGTCTTTATCCCTTCGGTCAAGGTGTCGGTGCCGTTAGATCCCCGAGATTCCCAGGCGGTCACCCATGCAGGAATCCGCGATGTCTCGAGTTGCTTTGCCTCCGCTTCTCCGTGATTTCATGGAGCGTAGTAAAGTAATTCGGCTAGCGATGCCGGCAGTGACATTTTACATTGACATTTCTACAATTCAACGATTGAACGTACGAATTTCATTACCTTACGAAGAACGAATATGACATTCCTCTGTTTAAAAATATGCAGAATTTGTGAGGAGGCAGTATCAGTCGGAGTTTTGTTCATTTAAAGTACACGTAGTGTGATTAAAATATTGATGGAAGTTACTAATTACATTAATAACTCGTCAATGGTGAAAATTAACCTTATGACTGGGCTATGCAGACATTAACCTTTCAAACTTCCTTGTGTTCCAATAGTAACATTGAAAAGAATCATTCACATTTTACCTCTTAAATTCGCACAAATGCCTAAAAAACCAGCTGGTTGAAAAGACTTCAAAATTTACTTTATCTTACTTAATTTGGGGATTGTTATTTACAAATTATGACAATATAACCCGAGTGAATTAGTTACAGAAATGCGCCAATTGCATCGTAAAATGTGACCATTAAGCAGAAATGAGTGAATGCTATTAAAGAAGTAGAAGAGAACAAACCGCTTGAAGTAGGACAAAAAAGGAAAATTTTACGAAAAAAAATAGAAATATAGAACAACGATACTGCTTTTTTCCTGCCTACTTTTGCATGGGAGATCATGAATCGAGCAGGATGCCATTGATTTAATCGGTTTCAAGATATTTTCAAGAATAGTACTTTGAAATTTCTAGAGGAATCACATGTCTTCCAAGTTATTTGTTATCGATTTGGCATGGAATTTATTTCCCATTTGGACTGAAAAGACTGCATAATGGTCGCAGTTCGATTCATCGTAGGCGTTCGTCGGGGCTCGCCCGGACCCGTGTAGAAAATTGCGGAATCGCAAATGATGATGAGGGGCACTTAGAAGGAAATATCCTGAGGACATTTCTTGCCAACATGTTTGGACTACCGCAAATTTCCTTTTGTCCGAATGAAATTGCTATATAGAAACATTGTGTATGCGGCAAGCAAGAGAAGTCGACGCGGCGACACGGCGATGTGTGGGCCCGAGCCCCTCGTACCCAGATTGGCGAAAGCTTTCCGAGCATTTCTAGTCCACTTCTGGATGCGTTCTAATGTAAACACGTCTTGCTTCACAGACGTTGCGTCATGGGACCTTGTAGGGGGTACTCGAGACGTTCCATCTCAGTACGCTGCTTGCGCAGCCCAGCCGATGTTGCCAGTCGCTGCACATTTCTCCGAGCGAAGAGAAACATTTTCGCACTAACGACTTTGTGTCATTTTAATTGTGAAATATTGTCAGGAGTTTCTTACAATGAGTGTTCATGTAATCTCATGGTTGTTGCATTTGAAGGGATTTATTTAACGAGGTCATAGTTGAGTAACTGTTTTATTCGTTCAAATATTTTCAATAATCCAAAATATACTAAAATATAATGTATTTAATTCACCCAGATTTGTCGGGAATGCAAACTAATACACACAGCAACATGTAAAATTATATACGCAGTTTCCTGAATATTTTTAATTTTATTAGAAAAGAATCGCTTTCCAAATACAAATTGACAAATACTCAACATGATATTCAGTATATTAAAAGAGCTGATCTCTTAGAAACATTTTTGGTCGTATATATTGTGCACTGCAGTGTCACTGATGTAATGAAACCCATTAATGTTCTCTTACTTAGTGTGCCCATTCTGGATATTTTCGTTTAACAATCTTAAACACATTACTATCATTATCGTAGTATTTCTTCATTACTGTCTCTAAGTATAAGAAACACATGCGCTTTTTAGTGAAAATGTATGAACTGCTCTGGTAAACGTAGCGCATTTAATAGTTGAGAATTAGAATGACGTTAATAAACATCAGTGCGGGTATTCAATATAGTAAGGAAGAGAAAATAGAATTGAAATAGTTATCATTTCAAGAGGATCAAAACATACCAGTATGTTTCTCATAATATTAACAATAAATAAATCCTTTACCGTTTTGGCTTCAGAACCGTATATTCCCGTACTAGAAAGTTTATATTTGGGTAATTTTCTAATTTTGTCGCAGTATGCTGTTATCGAAACGTGCGCATTACCAACATTCGGAGCTTGTTGGGAAAGTCAGGTCGGGCTTCATTTGTAAACAGCGAGTGCACTGTAACTCTGACGGTCGGCTAGTGAGGACGGGCGCAATAGCCGTGCGCGGTACAAGACTGTCGTAATAAGCACTTCACTTCCATTAATTCACAATTTTTTGTTTTCGTCCTTTGTATTCGAATCCGTCGGCAATACCTCGAAATATTTGAGCGCTTCGACTTATTAAGCACAATCTTCTAAATGTTAAAGAGGGGAAATATATCCAACGAACTGCTGTGCAGTAATGAAGCAATTCTCAAGAAAATGATATCAGAAGTATTTGTTCATCTGATTGAGGAAAAGACGGCGAATTTTTTACCTGAAATGACTCATCCCCGTTTTCATTTTAAATAACTTATATTGGGAGCTTGGACAATACTTTTTATGGAGACATTATTCGCTTCCTTTTAAAACATTGTTTTTACTTTGTACATATTCAATAAACGCATATATTTTTAAGCCATCGAACATATTATAATAAATTGTAATTATTTCGTGAGGTGTGTACATTTCGTTTGCTGCGAACCTAACATAAAGCTGATCTCCGAGCCAAGGACTTCTAGTTTATCAGCAGTGATCCGAAGAAGTGTTAATGGCAACCGGCCTCATCCGGTGGAGGCCCTAATAAAGAAGTCGTTACCTGGCGATGATCTGCTGGTGGAAGTAATAGAAGAGCTCGCCTCTGCGGTCCTTGCGCACGACGGCTGGGGGCCCGCTGAACGGGTAGACGAGGTGCCAGTGCCAGTGGCACAGGTTGATGCCCACGTCCTCGCGGAAGTAGGCCACGCGATGCTCGGGCTCCAAGTTGGTGGCGGTGTAGTCCAGCGGGATTTCCAGCGGGATCTGTGGGTGAATCAGAGGCGGCGTCACGCGCGCCCACTGCGCCAGAGAGCCCCGCGTTACACGGTCCGCCTCCGCCCGTGCGTTGACCCAAACGAATGCTCGTAGTCGCAGGTTCGGAAAATTAATCCGCGATAACGCGATAGTGTATAATTGGCTGCTAAATTAACGACCATAGTCGATGTTTGGTAGGGAAATTATTTCTCATTATTAGGTTTATCAATAATGGATCTAAAAATTAAATCACTTGCATACCATTTATCATTCAGTTCAATCTTCAACATAATTATGCAACGTAAATGAGTCTGGGGTTTAATTAAATTGTATACACTAAATGAGACGTTTATTTTAAATTAATGTTTATTTAAGGTGAATGTCAGTGTTTTATATTTCCTAATAGCGGTATCAATGTGATTGAATAGAGATGATCGCATCCTCGGCAAATCTGCAGAATAGGTGGAGGTTAATAGCATAAAATATATTGATAGTATTCGTATTATTTCAATACGGATAAACTATTAAATTTTCAGCCATGTCGAATATGAGTGTAAATCAAAATCCGCGGTAGAGGCAGCAGCAGCTACAACAACAGTAACAGCAGCTTCGACTAGAACCTCAGAATTTTGCCGCCGATTTTTGAAATTGGTATTCAGAAGCCTAAACGCGGAAATTCATAATAGTCGTCCAATGAAAAATTATTCCGTAATTTAAATATCGCTCCGTTGAGGTGAGAGCAACCCTTTCCAACAACCTCACTGTAAACTAAGGACAATTTGTAGCTTCATCTGCAATGAATTCTCTACTAAAGCATTAAATTACAATGAAAGACTACTCAACTTTCTCCTGGCAGTAGGAACTAGTTAATTTACTTTCTTGAATAAATTTCCTTATATCACATTATAGACAATAATAAACATATAGGAAATTGCAGTTCTCACAGAAATCTATGGGAGTTATTATTACATTGATTGAAAACGGTTGCGTCGTATAACGTTTGCTTACTTCCGTTTCAGTTTCCATGGTTTGAATACATTGGCATACTTGATTTATCCATAAGGAAATACTGCAAATCATTATTAAAATAGCATGTTGCTTGTCTCTTCGACGTGCAAATACTAGGCACTTGCAAAGGCAAGAGAGTAACTAGGAACTAGTTCATAATCAGAGGTGATCTCAATGTTTTTAGGACCAGTACTGGACATTCACACAGGTAATTCATTCAGACGTAATGAACTCTTAAAAGCAGTTTCAAAACTTTTAGTGTCCCCTACATTTTAATAAAAGTATGGGCGAATGAGATATTTTCGTTGCAAAACTTAATAAGACGAGAAAGTAAAAGTAATCTAACATTGAAGTTGAACAATGACTCGTCTGTAGTTATGATCATTCTCATAATAATATAACGTTAGGAAACGATGTAGTTGATACTTAAGTCCAGTTTTTATGCAAAAGTACTTCAGATCAAACTTCCGATCCATTGCATGTAAAAAATCATCACTTCATTCATCATCATTTAGAAAAATCACTGAAGTATTAAATACGTAGGGTCTGTTTATGTATCAGTGAAACGAAATTCAAAAGTTTTACATGTACTAAGACTAAGAACATAATACATCTCTGAAGTATCTGTATATTTTAGTAGGTTAGTGGTAGGTTGTGAACATTTATTTGCTCTAATGGACAATATTCTCTTGTGAAAAGTTTCATGCGGACTCTGAGAAATGTGAAACGTTTAATGGAAACAACAGCAGTAAACTCTAAAAATTAAAACGAAATATATGCAAAATGTACCCTTTAAAATATATACTAAATATACTCTTTGTTGTGAGGAATATTTTTTTTTATATTTCACCGGGTCAAAAGACCTTAAAAAGAATTAAAATAATTTCACAGAAAACATTCTTTGCCCTAATGCGTTTGACTCATGTTTGATGAGTCTTACATATCTAATTATGTATGTAGTTAATGAAACTTGAAGATGAAGAATTCAAGCATAATTATTGTGACTTGCCATATCATTTTGAATTATAATCATGTGCCTTACAAAGAAATTTATTTCTCAATTCTATTAATGATTTAATATTTGATTTGCTTTGCTGAACAATTCTACAACGAAAATTAAAGCCAAATTTCATTTTAATGGTATTTTGCATAAAATGCTTATCGTTCAATGTAATTAACATTTTGCTACAAAAATTATTTTAAAAGGAATACATTGAAAAGCATTTGTACTATTTACCTTTCACTTTCCACGTGGCACGTTTTAGTACCCTTCATTGCTAGGAATTGCCATGGTTAACTCTCAAAGAAACATTACGTAATATAACAGCTAACTTCGAAAAAGTCTATTTGTTCTTTCGTGGAACATTCGCTTTGTGTGCAGGAAATTCGCAGAAAGATATCTGAAAAACATTTTCAAATGCGCTTGTTCACAGTATTCCATCATCTCCAACCGACATTCACGGGAGTGATTCAGCAGGCCTCGCGCCTCAAAGACCAGACCGAGCCAAATAAAAGAAACGTCGCGGGCAATTTGTTTGTTTAGCCTGCAACACACACACACACACACACACACACACACACACACACACGACGTCTGATGTAACCTTCGGATAAGGAAAGTCACTCAGCGGGAAGCCCCGACGCCGCGCCGTGAAAAAGTTCAGGGCTACCGCGGACTACTCACCCGCTCGCCGGTGTTAACCAAGTTGGCCTCTTCGCGGGCTTTGGAGAAGATGGAGCCGTCGAAGAACTTTTCCGGGAAGCGGCTGGCGAAGAGCGGCAGCTGCGCGCCCTGGGTGTCGTTCCGGTGCAAGATGGCGATGCTCATCGCGTACGAGAAGAGGAACGGGTTGATGCGCTCGCGGCAGAACACGCCCGCGGACACGAAGTCCTCGTACGAGCGCATCCCTGCCACAAAACAAACACAATTGTTGGCGGCGCCCGTTCCTACGTGCAATTCGAGATTCGGACCGGCTTGGGCGGCTCAGGGCATCAATTGGCTAGCCTGGAACTAAATGGTCTGTGGAACGAATCACAATGTGACTTAGGCCACTTAAGAATTGGCTATTAATTAAAACCATCTGCCAATACTAAAGTGGTACGTATATTATGTGGCACCTACACCGACAAATGACACATAGACCACTTTAGAATGTGTAGATGCTCACCTGTTCAGATCAAATTTACTCTAACCTGGACTTTAGCCGAAGTGTTTCATAGACCACTTTAGTTCCAGGTTAGCCAATTGACGTAGTTGCAGTGACTCTGGCCGGGAGGTTCTATGGTTCGAAGGATTTTCGACGCTAGCTACATAGCTAGGCGAATTCAGCCACTGTTTGGGCGAGAATTCTAGCGGTCGGCTGCTCTGATCAGTAGTTTTTAGTGGTTTCTCTGATCAACACCAGGCGAATGCTAGAGCAGTACCCTAACGAACGGACCACGGACCGCGCACCATTTTTCACTAATTACTTAAATACAGTTACATTAACATGCACTACACTACCACGCATGTCGGCAGTTTATACTGGCGGTGCTCCTCTGGTGTGATATGATATGCATGGGTCATTTGCAATTATCAAATATTCAGTCGCCTGACGCCACGGTTATTCACTGTTGTCAAGCTCTTCCCAAAAAGAAAACAATTTAAGAACCATTTTATTATTATTTTTTCATGCCTCGATGGAAGAGGCTTTATCAACTTAATAATTAGAGGTAAAAAGGAACTTGCCGAAAGCAGAGAAAATAAAGACAATCGAAAATTCACATTCTCTTTTTGCGAATGCAAACCATTTTTATTAGTAGCTTGTATTATTTGAAATAATCCGTAAATATGTCAAGATTGGTTGAAAATTATAAAATTCTGTATTGGGGAATTACAGAGACCTAGAAGATTTCGTGTTACCTCTGTAGTAAAATCTTGTATAAAGTATTTAAACTTCTATACAAACATTTCTTTCAAAATTTTATACTTTGTGCACTTTGTAATATAATTGAACAGCTGTGCTTAATTCATCCAAATTTAAATTTGAATGTACATTATTTTTTATATCATCAGTCGCCCGCAAAACTAATTATCAATCCCAGGACACTCACATCTTAATAGTGCACCTCAAACGTTATTAAACCGGAAAAACTTATAACCGGGAGAATTTTAAATCAGAAATTAATAGTTTATAGTAATGTATGTAATTGATCTATTATAATCGATAACAGCTACATCATATATTTTCCACGCGTATCATACTTTATTTCGAAATTTTCGCTTTTTTTTGTTTTTAGAGCAAACGCGTGTTGAAAAGGTGAACAGAATTCTGAATTTTGGTAGTAAAATACAATACATTCAGAGTAGTATATAACTTTACAAAATATGTGGCAGTAAACAACTTGCTGTACAGGATGAAGTAAAATTAATTTCATTTGAACTGCATTTATTAAATTAACATAATTTCTTACGTTGATGTTAGGGATTGCATGAAACTTTCAAAAAGTGAACGTTTTTTACTGAAGAGCAATTTGTTGAAAGTGTTGATAAACATTTAAAAAATAATCTATAGTTATTAACAGATACCTCCATAATTCGTTTTCAGGTCAATAAGATTTCTGATTTTGTGACATCAAGAGTCAAAGCATATGTACTATTATGTACTATTTCACCAATTATTTCAATGAGAAAGAGAGAATAAAAGAGAATAAAAAAATAAATAAAGTTGTTGAAAATAAAATATTCAATTGAATTACAGACTGTGTCTGTGACAAATCATCGATACCCGAAAAGAGGCGAAAACTGCCGAACGGTTTCTTTCTTTAACCTGCATTGATATTCCCTAAGCAGTAAATTAGTTCGCTCCAGAAGCAGGGACTGTTCGTAATGTCTGCACGATATATGTGTGTGTGTATATATATAAATAAATATATAATTATACATATACATATATATGCTACACACACATATATATCTATATCTATATACATATATATATATATATACACATATATATACATATATATATATATATATATATATATATATATATATATATATATATATATATATATATATATATCACTATATTAGCAATATATCGAATATTTTGTTCTTCTATTTGTATTGTATTAGTATATTTGCGTATTGTGAAAGGGTTTTCATTCTGTTTTTTATTGTCGGGAACTTTATTACGAAACCTGTATAGAACTCAATCACTCAAGGGAATACTGAGTATCCATCCGGCTTACACACAAAAATAAATAAGCCCTTTAATTATTTTTATAGAAGTAACAATCATTACGAAAATGAGATATTTTCTTCAGATATAAAATAAAAATATTAAATGATCATGTAATAAGTATATTACAAAGATGTATTTTAATCGATTTTACGATATTAAAATACAATTCAGGTATAGCGTAACAACAAAACACTGCGCTGTCTATAGTAAATTGTCTCAGCAGTAGGAATTACGTGCAAAACATAACTCAGTTTATAAATATTGCCTCCATATGTGTAGCATACAATTTCAAAGTACCTATGTTTTTTTGCTACTATCTAACGCTACCTTTTAAAATTGCGGATATTTCATGCCAAAGTATTCTCAAATTACTCAGGTTTTCGAATTGTAAATGACATTATTAAAAGATATGTCTTTGAAGAACAGATTTCATTCAGGAAAAGTCTACATCCAATATTGTAGTTCTAGAAAAATACTGAACAAATTTTGTACATTTAGAATTTTTGGAAACTTTGGAATTTCAACGAAAATTAGACCCGCACTATTTAGAGTTCTGTACGCGAATAGAGGAAAGGTTAATAAAAAACTGAAGCAATTATTGAAAGAAAGTTGACAATATTTTTGAGTCTTCATTGAAAGTTTCCAAAAAAATCTAAATATCCATTTCAAAATCGCAGAAGCTTGATTTCTTTCAGATTGGTCGGAGAATATCAATTTTAGAGAAAACCATCAGAACCGTATAGGCGCTATCATTGACCACAGACGGACGGACAGGCAGACATGTCGTCAATTATTGATTATACGATATTCGATTTATTAGTATGAAGAAATAAAAGAAAGTGGATTATGACCACACAAAGTGTTATTAATTTACTATCTAGAGGAACAAGATATATCTGCATAACATCTATTTCGTTACCAGGGGCCGAAAAAATAGCAGATTTCCGGCGTACGTTTAAAATATTTTCTCTTCTTACGAAGTATGGCGAAAAAGTACAAATGAATCCGCCGGAAACTCTTTAAATTTCGCCTACTTCATTCGGCTCAACAATGTGGTCGATACTTGATCTTCTTGTACTCTGACATTGAAACCGTAGTGAGCCCTTAAATCGCAGATATCAATGGTTACTCACCCAGTAAGATCTCAACGAGTCGGCGAGCCATGCGCCTATGGTAAGGGATGAATAGTGAGAATTGATCTCTGCGGCCCAGCTGCATAGGGAGCGAAATATCTGGGACATTGATGCGTGGAACGTTGATTGGAGTGCTGTCTCCGAAACGATTTGTCAGTTCATTGGCTTTTGACTGATACCTCCGAGGCTGTGAAAACAATGCGATCACTAGAAAGACATGTGTTATGGAAAAAAACATTTAAATATTGCAAAAAAATAGTATGTCAAGAAGTAGACGAAATACGCTACGACTAGCAACTTCTTGACAGTATGTATTATTGGAGTTTTTGCGCGTTGAAAACTACGAGAGTAGAAGAAGGTACTTGAGTAAAATAGTCTGGTACATTCACAGAAATCGAAAGTGTACTACGTTGCTGTCCTCTTTACATGAGGAATTGAGTTGCGTAGATGTGAGGTGATGTAAAACGAGGGTAGGTATTGTAATAAACGCAGATACTACGTGGCTAACACAGGGCTCAAAAAGTAGTCTTAACATGAGAAGCAGTGTAATAGGGTGTGGTGGTATGGAATCTTATGACAGAAACGGCATGGATTTTAACGTTCGACACATGATGTTAGCTTTCATTAGATCGTACGTGCCCTTAGAAAAATAAAATGACACTGACATTTTTACACCAAATGAAATGTATAAAACACGTAAGTGATATCGTACTCTTTTATTATTGTTATTATTATTATTATTATTATTGTTGTTGTTCTTATTATTATTGTTATTATTATAATTATTATTGAAATTAATACAATTAACAATCTTTCGCAGAATGAGGATTCTGTCCTCAATCAAAAATTATAATTAGACTTCAGGAGGAATTGACTAAGATTTGAGAACATCACCGACGGTTTCCTAAGATTGTATGATTCGACGTGTTTAGTTAACGCGGTCATATTCAAGGAAGATCAACATGGATGTGTAGATAAATTGTAATTCACACTTGTTTCTTCGTGAAAAATAAGTCTATAATAACAAAGTAAACATTTCTCAGGGTGCATTAAGATAAAAACGATTCATAAAGAATTAATATTTAAAAAAAATTTCGGAATCTGTGTACATAAACATGTGTTTTTAAGAAACATATTTCCTCACATTGAAGAAATAAATTTTTATGTTTTTGAGAACTATTTGTATTGTACTTACACTTGTGTAACAATGTCTATAGTAAATTAAAAACTCTTCTACTCACCACGTAGTCATCAGGAACTCTAAAGATCACATCTTCATTCTCTCCTTTCGCATAGTAAATGGGTTCCACCGGGCGATCGAACAAATACTGCAGATTTGCTCGATTACTGATTTCATCTCGCCGTTGCTACATGTAAATAAAATGAATATATTAAAACCTTTATTTTTGTTCTTAATTAATAATTATTTCTTTAAATCTTTAACTTGCTTTTTGCCATTTTTTCATGCGATCTTTTGATAAATTAATTTACCAATCGGTTTTAATAAGTGCACACCTACTTTACGTTTTCATAGGTAAACACAATTATTATTTCATGGTTAAATTTATAATCCTTCTTTCTAGTCCTATTCTTTCTATAAGAAAAGTTTTCTTTAATTCCAATTGTTTTTTGTGACGAAAACAGTTTATTTACAACTTGTGAAAATGAGCTGTGTTACACTTAGGAAAAGCAAATGTGAATCTAAACTATAATATTTAATATTGAAATCTGTAAAATATACAAAGATGTTTCGAGTTAAGTTGAAGAACTAATTAAATATACGTTTACATAACAGCGTCACTGGCATGAAGCGTCAATAAAAACAGGAATTGTCTAATAAGTACATTTAACCTTCCTCAGTGTGGTGATAACCGTTCGTCTCTTAAACCGCATTAATAAAAAACCATGATTTGTTTCACTACAAGGAATAGTAAGCGTCCCGTCACTGTTCAACACACTCGTAACATTAAGTTTCACAAAACGTGAACGATTCTTGTAAACTCGGGTACACTAGAAGAGGAGAATTAACAAAGTGAACTCACAGCAGCTACCAGCACTGCTGCCCACGCCAGTAACACCAGAACCCGCATGGTCTCCATGGTTCCACACCACCGCCCAACACCGCACACCGACTAGACCTACGCGTCTCGTGTTCTCATATATACCGCGCCTCCCCTCCACCGCCACCCGAAGCCTCCGACCTCCCCCTCTGCGCTTCTTCTGGTCCTTTCCCTCAGCTCGGGAGCCACCACGGGAAAGTGAAGGCAGGAAAGTTATTGCACTGACCAAATGACCGTTCCGACGTTTTTGCCTCGTTTTCAAAGGATAGATAATTAGGATCTTGTTTCATAGCGAAAATAGGACTAGGGAATGTTTCTTAAGTGGGGAATTTCCTCCTGTAAATCGCATGCCGGAGCTGTTTATGTCGCCAGAGAAGCTGTCAGGGCGTTTAATTATTGCGAAGATACAAGTATCTCGGAGGAGGAAAACTTGGTGTTGCTGCAGGGAAAATATAGTTCAAGGATAATGTTATTAAACAAGATTCCCCGCATTAATTTTGAAAATTATCGACGTGTCGAGACTGATATGAACATTCGAGTTTGTGTAAATACTTGTGCTTCTGAAAATCGCTTCAATGATATATTCCTTTGAATTTCCCATATTTTCAATTGTACGAAATTAATTTTGTATTTTTCGAGACACACTGACGTAGACACAATGTTATTCTAATCTTTCGGTATCTATGAAATATTTTTACCCCCAAAGCATGCTGTGTAATGAATATGTGCACTGAAAATGTAATGTCATAATATATAAATAACTAAATAAAATATTGTAATTATCATGGGAATTTGTTGCATTAACTCGTTTACGATTAATCTTTGATTAACGTTGCATCTACGGGAGTTTTGACGGTTGGATTCCGAATTATGAATCGTTTTTGGTGCACATATTCAGATATTTCAGACGATAATTTTGTTATTGCTTCATTACTTCCTACTTCTACGTTTCTCTCGATATTCATAAAGGCAGTTCTGTTTGGAACAATGCGGATTGAGATAGAAATACGGTATCTCAAAGTACAGACCAAATATTATGTTGTAGAAATTCATAATTTCAGATACGGTGACTTCAGGAAGCAAAATTGTATTATAAATGCAAATTGTTGTTCAGCGTTTTTGCCAGTCCAACGTAGGATAACGATACTGTAATAAATTTTGTTCAGTTGACATTTTCTTTCTCTCTCGCGCGTTAGTAATAGTTAAAGACATTTTACTAAAATTCTTGATTATTCCAAAATACGTTTGTGATTTCAACCGTGACTAATTAGGACGTTTTCTTTTAAAATACGAGTATATGTGAATAGGTTGTGTCTATATAATTAACTTAGTATAATTATCTTAGCGAAGTATTTATTTCATTTAACTTTTATTCTTCAGTTAATTACTAGATACTTTTGTAGTACAGAATTGTATTAAATATGACAGAAAGGAATTAAATGAATCAACTCTACATATTTGCTGACTTCAGGAAAATCAAAGGAATTTGGTCAAAGGTCCTCATTGGTCCAAAGTTTCGAAGACGTGAAAAAACAACTTGAAGGACAGGCCAATGGCCTGAAAAAAAGACAAGGTGGCATTAAAATAAACTTCATAACACACAATATCTCACCTGAAATACTAGAATTTGTGCAAAATCGAGGTGATAAACCAGCGAAAGTGATTTATCTATTTGTGAAGTAACTCGTAACAGAGTACATGTACGATTTTATTTGCTTTCATTACTACCGTACACCGTCACGCCGCGAGAACAGGTTCTGTGGCGGTAGCGACGGAGCCGCGATTCGCGTCTGTCTGGCGGACCGGGTGGCCTTGGCGGCCGAACGAGGAAAAGAGGTGGATGGCAGGGACCGCAGCCGCGATGCGCGACCCTCGCGGCCCGCCAGCTCTGCGGATCGGGCGATCGCTTCCGGAGCGCCAAGACGCCGCGCTCTGGGCGTTGGCGTGCGGTGACGCGCGGGAAAAACTCCCCGGGGATCACCCTTCAGCGTTCCGCGCGGGATCTTGCCCTAGTACATGATGCACACGGACGTCCTGTGGTACGACAAACACCGGTGTGCACGCGTAGCACAAAACAAGAGGGGAGCCAGCTAGGTTTCTGGCCTCTATTCTCCATTAAACATTTTAATGTACATACGACTCCATATTTTACGAGAAAATAAATAAAACTTACTACAGGAAGAATTAAATTATAACTTGAATCGTACTATTAATAAATACAATTGATTTTATGTAGAACTATTTATAGGTTTCCAGATGGCTTGGAGAGCCTCTTCCTCAAATTGTCAGGTTAAAGACGGGAGTAGACAAGAACTAAACATATTTAAAAAATAAAATGTTTTGTTATGTAAGGTGATGAGTTCCTTTCAAAATCTTTAGTGGGTTCATAGTCCTCTGGCTCCCCTGCGCGGACATCTACGATGTCAAAGATGAAAATTAGCCACTCCCTTGCTAAGTATCTACACAAATTCCCCTATAATTACAATTAACAAACCTAAACCAAAGATAAACAGTGACAAATTTGTGAAATGTGCGTTTAAATAACAGGTAAATCAATAACATTTCCCGGGCGCATCTTAATTATGCATTGAGTGACTTCAGTTTCTGAAAAAATGAAAACGTACTTAATTTTATTATCTGCCTTAACAATGTATTTTTAAACCAGGAAAGTAAACGTACTAACTACGAGCAGAAATTTTTGTATATTTCACACCAAGAGTCTTGGCTTCATCTTTAGATTCCTGAGGTTCATAACGGTGAAACCTTTCTTTTTGGTAGCAATTTTAATTAAATAAAAACTCCGCGTTTTTTCAACATTGAATAAAAAGGATCAAGCTAAATGTAATGTGATCATAGTTTATTTCGTAAAGCGTTTTTGTCGCTTTTTTGGCCCTCGCTGTATTACCATTTCACTTATGACAATCAAATAATAATATTAATTTAATTCTTATAATTATGCTCACTTCGCCAAACAGACAATAGAGCTTAAAGGAAAATGCGATTTAAACACCTTCATCATGAGCAATGTAATAAGATAACATCGCATTCAAATTTTTGTTACGATCGATAATCTTGTTCTTGCGGTCGTATGGCATCTCCAATTAGAAACAACTCACTAAGCAACTCTTTGTTAGATCCCTGTACCGAGGGAAAGTACGCGCCATACAGTGGCCGGGATAACCCAAGAGATCATTTGGGTATTCATTTGACAGGCTATTGTGTGAAAATGGGAGGTTTCGTTCTGACAGCGGGAAATGGTGCAATAATATAAGTAGGTCCCATGTTTGATACGTCAGCTTTTAAAGTAACGGGTTTATTCCACAAAATTTGAAATCCCCCAAAATTCTTATAAACTCAGACCGTCATTATTTGGGTATTCATTTCACAGGCTGTTGTGTGAAAATGGGAGGTTTCGTTTTGACAGCGGGAAATGGTGCAATAATATAAGTAGGTCCGATGTTTGATACAACGTCAGCTTTTAAAGTAACGGGTTTATTCCACGAAATTTTAAATCCCCCAACATTCTCATAAACTCAGACCGTCACTATGGTACTATGGTATTTGCGGCAACCTCACCAAATTCAGGGTGGGTCCAGCAATCAAGCATGTATTTGAAAATGGTTAGTCTTATGCGAGGGCTACCTCAAAAAACATCAGCTTGTTGTTATGATACGGGGGAGGGGCGAACAAGAAATTGTTAAACTTAATGATTGAAAGGGCACGCTAACATTTAATGAATGGATTTTAAACATCACCGACATACGAATGTCTAAAGAAAAATATAAAATAAGATGCCCTTATCTTCGTAACAAATGTTTTATGTAAATGTGTATAACATAACGTAATGCAATTTACAAGGCTCGTACAGTTTTTTCTTAGAAAATATATCATTTTTTATGTCTAAATTAAGACGATGAGGATTATTTCTGCTTGACATTTTCACATTTAATTCTGTATTTACGTTAATATTTGGACTGTACGTAATATTACGTAGGCCCTACACGTTTTCCCGACTTATAGATGTAAATATACAGCAATTTTTGGACAATTGATAACATTTCCTGCTTTGAGTCCGGGTGTTCATCGTACTTGTAAGAAAAATGCAAACAAATAAAACTGTGGCATAGTGAAAGAAAGGTCTAAATCAAAAGTTGATCCTATCTCCTGATTTCATCGATCTTTACATTGGACTACGATTGTTTTGTCATTTCGATGGTGTAAGACAGCTCCTCATTCTGTAAAATTTTGAATATTAACATTAGTCCTTCTTGCACCAAGCCACATAATTCTGTAATCCAGAGGTGTATCCAGAGATTCCGTAGTGTTTCAGGGGAAATGTGAATTACAGTTCGAACTTTGCCCATAAATTTCTTCAAAAAAATTGTCATTGAACTCTTAATTTGTAAAATGTACGTGTAAATGTCATATTGTAAATATATATGCGCAGGTTTAAGGGGAATCATGCTTTAGAATCTGTGAAAAGTGTTGCAATCAATGTGGGATAATTTATTTACATAAATTGAGTAAATGTACAAAGAATAATGGAAAGAGGAGATTATTGCCTCGTGGATCCGCCACTGTTCTCTAATCTGTTTTGCCTACCCTGAATTTCACTGTCCGCCTGCTTCCTCTGTAACAACATGCGCGAACATTTGGAATCTGCCGTCCTAATGAGCGAAACAGGTGGATGATCAGCTTAGAGTGTGGACTAGGCGTACGGAAACGTGAAGGCTTCCTCAGCAATTAGACGATATCAAATAATTTTCTCATTGTGAGGCTGCTGAACCTGAATTCTACTTCCACATCGTTCCCAGCGTATGATGGAGTCTTTAGAAGACTACTTCAAAAAGTAATTTCAATTAATAGTTCGTAATTTTATGTTTGGTTTTTAGAGATACTGAAAAGTGAAGTTCCACCACATAATTTTTATTTTAGATAATAAAAAAATAATAACGTGTGGCTCACATTTAAATGAAAAAAGACAAGATCCTTTCCCGGAGTAGATTAAGAAGTTTCACGTACGCATCAAACACAACAGACCGCGTAGCAGGTGTTTCTCAAGTA